AGGGCTGAATAGTCTGTTAGTAGTAATGGGAAGAGAACTAGCGATGGATAGTAGGAGTGGTCTGTCAGGGAGTCAGACCGAATTCAGGTTTCTAGATTGCGAGTTTAGGTGGAGTAGGTTTGTGTGTTGCATGGGTTTATGGATTCGTTTTCTCTTGAACGAAAAGATTTCCATTGGGTTTAGTCTCCTTCGAAAGTCGTCGGATGTCATGGTTGTGGAGGTACCCCTCAGGATGTCGGGTTGCTGGGGATGGTAATGAATGATTTCGAGGACGAAATCGAATTTAAGTGGGGGAGAGTTGTAACATCCCATTTTTCAAGTAGCTTCAAATTCATCACTCAGATTTTAATTATGTCATTTTTGGCCCTTGGTTTGGAAGGAAGTGGAAAAAGGAGGCCCTAGTGGCAAAATGGTAAGTTTAGAAATTGAAGTAGTATGTTGGGCGTACATTTGGTACGCTAAGCGTACTAGGGCGCACCCTAGTACATTGGGCGTACGAGTGCCAGGATGGAACCCTAACTTTTAGGGTTTGTGGAGTATTTAAACAACTTATAGACCATTCCCTCTCATCTCATTCAGCCTCCACACCTCCCTTAGCCGTCTTGAGAGAACCCTAGCCTCATAGTGATCATTCTTGAGCTTATAAGTGTGTTTTTGTGCCTTTAAGAAGAAACTTGTGCATCAAGGAGCCAAGGAGGGAAGATTGGCTTGTAGATCTTGGTTCATCATCTGTTTTGGGAGCTCCATAAGGTATAAAGTTGGTACCTTTATGCCTATTTCTTCTAGATCTATTCTTGGTAGCTTATTTGCATTCTTTTGTCCCATAAAGTCCCATTATAATGCATGGTTCGTTTTGGACGATTTGAGCTGTCCTTTCAGACCCTAGGAGAGTACGCCCAGCGTACCAGAGGAGTACGCCCCGAGTACTTCCTCTGTTGGGCTTTTATCATTTGGGCTTTGGGGTTTGGGTTGTTTTTGGACTAGCTGGGCTTGGGCCTTGTTGGACTCTCTGAATAATTGGATTTGGGCCAAGTTTTGATAATGGACCTTGGAATTAGGCCCAATTAGGGAGTTGGGCCGAATTTGGTAAATTGGGCCAATAATGGGCTTTGCATATGTAGACTCTTGGATCATGGATTTGGTATTGGGCCTTGGCCCAAATTAGAGAAAAGACAAAATGGACTATATGGACCCTTTCGTCAGGATTGATAGCCCATATGTTGACTCAACATTCGTTATTTTGGATAGTTCGGGATTTTCGGTGAGACAACACTTCTGGAGTTGATACTTCAGTTCAGACCGACATTGCGAGGTGAGTTATCCTCACTATTACAACAGGGTCTAAGGAACCAAGGCCGGCCCTTTATCGGATTTGTATCTGGGTATTTGCTTGATATGTTTATTGATCTGCTAGATCTGCATCGTGGTAGTTAGGATGGTATTATGTTTAGTGACCTGGTTTAGGTCGGTATCTTGGCATATAAGATGATGTTATGTTAGTGACCGGTTAGGTCGGTATCATGGTTATAGGATGGTTCCTGTGTTAGTGATCTGTTAGATCGGTATGATTATCTGTTATATACATGCTAGCGTATGATATTATATGTACATGATTGTTTGCTGATTGGGGGTTGGGTTGAGGCGGTCCTGCTTTGTGCTGAAGACCAACATACCCAGGGCGGACCGGATAGACTGCAGGCCCAAGAGGGCACATAGTCATGTCGAAGGCCCGGCGAGCGGTCCGGATAGGCTAAAGGCCCCGAGAGGGCGGTCCAGACGTGCCGAGGCTCGGAGAGTGGGGCAGATAGACTGAAGACCCGGTGCGGGCGGACCAGTCATACTGTAGACTCAGAGAGTGGACCAGGTGGACTGAAGGCCCGGTGCAGGCGGACCAGTCATATTGTAGACCCGAGATGCATGTTGGTATGTGTTTGTTATATGATATGTTTATGGTTGTATGAGGTTAGTATATTGGGGGTAACTCACTAAGCCTTCGAGCTTACATTTATCGATTATTGTTTCAGGTACAGCGGATGACCGCGGGAAGGCGAAGGCGTGACCGTAAACTTCCTCATATTTTGATTTGGATTTTTGGGATACTCTGATATGAAACTATTTTGGAAACCTTTTTGTAATAACTATTGGTATTTGAAATGTTTTTAAAAGTTTAAATTTGGCATGATTTTTATGGGTGTTACAATTATTAGCCAGGGAACTCGGCGAGTCAGGGGTTGAGTCGACGAGTTGGATCGCGCTTTCAGGATTCTGAGTTTTAGAACTCGGCGAGTTGATGGAGCAACTCGACGAGTTGAGTTAACTCAGATCGTTGACTGTGAATGTTGACTTTGACTTTGACCAAGGTTGACCTAGTTTGACTTTGAGGACATTTTGGGGCTAAGTGTCATCTTGTTACTGATAGCTCAGGGAGCCGAAGGAGCAGCAGTTCGGGGAATTGCCAACTAGCAGCAAGAGGTTTATTCGTGGGATTCTGCAGTCAGCTTGTGAGGTGAGTTTTCTCCAGTAGGAACGGGTCGAAGGCACGAATGTCGGCCCGTTTATGTATGTTAGTGTATACCGGATTTAGATCCGATGCCGGGGTTAGCCCGATGCAGTTTATATGTTCCAGATTTCGGTCCGCTGTCGGGCAAGGCCCGAGGAAGGTTTATATGTATGTTTCCGAACTACGGTTCGATGCTGGGTGGTATCTTAGGAAGGAATACATGTCTAGTTATACTTGTTGTCTTTGTGATACTTGTATGTGTCTGGTAGGGAGGTGAGTGTGGGCGGGGGCCCATATCTCATCACTAGCTGAGTATGGACGAGGTTCCATATCTCATTAGTAGTAGAGTAGGGGCGGGGCCTTGAGACTAGCAGTTATAGTGTAGTGATTGTCTATTATGTATTAGCATGGTTATATGTTTGTTTGTATGCATATAGCGGGTGGGGCCCAGAGACAGGCGGGGCCTAAGAGAAACAGATCTGTATACCGAGCGGGGCTCGATGCCAGGCGGGTCCTGATGCCGGGCGGGGCCCGATGCTGGAGCAAGTCCGATGCCGGGCAAGTCCCAATGTAGCGGGGTGGGGCCCAGTGTATGTGCTTATGTGTATGGTATGTGGTGGATTGGGGAATTCACTAAGCTCCGTGCTTATAGTTTTCAGTTTTGGTTTCAGGATCTTCCGGTAGCGGAGGGAAGAGCTCGGGATGACTGCATGGCACACACCATTGGTTTTTAGCATGGAATGTTTTATTCTGATAATTTGATACTCTGATTATAATGTTTTGAGATATTGACTATGTTTGATGAAAAGATTTGATAACTATGGTTTTACTTAACGATTTAAAATGAAATTTTTGGATTGTGTTTTTGGGATGTTTCAATCATCCATCATGACTACGAGAGAAATGACATCTTTTAATTAATTGCACTCTACACTGATTATCAAAATGGATTAAAACCGTTCCAATTACAAATATGTACTAATATTAACTCCACTGAAGTAACCAATGTAGCCCTTTGAATTAAGACATTAACCTTTATGACATGTAAAATCTAACATTTGCTATGATTTTCTAAATGTGCCTATGTTTCTATATGTTGTATATATGAAGTAAGCCTCAGACCTATCAAACATTCACTCCGAAAGTGATGGACACCAAGGAATAAGAGAACTACCAAACTTGAAATCTCAATCTTTTCATTGAACCTACAAAGGAGCAAGGATGAGGTTTCATATAAATATCAATAACAAAGACATGACCTAATAGGAGAAAATCATAATAATTTAGAGAATCCATCACTTTTCTCTGTTTTATCATTATTATCTTCTTCACCGCACTAACAACTTTTTGGGTCAAACTGCACGCTCATAACCTGTTATACTTTTACTGATTAATAAAAAAGACCAAGCTTTTGCAAAACATACAAAGAAATTACAAAAATATAGGGCATAGAAGTCCTTACAACATCTATTTTAAAAATAGATAAAAATCACTTATACATTTGCACCAAAATCTGGAATTATTGAATTGAGAAAGCTTCCTAAAAGGCGAAATCAAACCCTAACTACAGTTCAATATAAACAATCAATCAAATTCGTAAATTCATGAACAAAAAAAAAGGAATAACTTGAGTGTTGGAGCAAGCTTCACCTTCAATCCCAATTTCGCCAAATAATCATTATGGATTGAGAATCAATCTCTTGGCCATTTCTGCTGGATCCTATATTAATCCATGGGTCGTTTTCATTTTTCCGTAAGTCCATACCATCCAATCGATGCCATAGATTTGCTTAATCGAATCTCCATACATACCAATTCCATCACTAAACATAAAGAACATCAAAACTAAACAGAAATCAGAAACGATAACGACATTTACATACACATACACACATAGATTTTGATAGAGAAACTTTAATGATCAATACAAAAACCAAAATGATTTTAGGCTTTTAGCACTATTTAGGAAGAAGATGCAATTACAGATGCTAACCTGATGTTCCTTTCCTTATTTGTTCTTTCTTTTCGTGGCAAACCAAAAAAACCAATATTCTTCAATTTTGGAGATGGTTACGATTGTTGATTTCTTGTATCTACATCGATTGAAAAGAGATTTTGAAAGGAAATCAATAAATTTGTCCTGATTTTTTGGAATACATATCAGTTATTGCAGATTTAAATAAAAGAATTTTTTAATATGTGTCATAAGGGCACATATAAAAAACATTAATTGAAGTATTAACTATAACAAATATTACCATAATTAAATTTGATAAACATGAATTATGTATAATATTACCATAATTAAATGTAAAATATATTAATTATAAAGAATATTATTTATAATTAATGTTTATCACATTTAATTATGGTAATGTTTCTCATAATTAATCCGATCCTTCAATCCTTCGATCAATGCTTATTATATGTCTCAACATATTAGAAAATCCTTTAAATTAAAATGAGATTTATTAGATAAGAAATAAATTTCAAATTTGGATAGGATCTTGGATGATATCCGATTGATTGGAATGCCGGAATGGACGAGAAATATGCACAAAATAAGGGTGGAGGGCAAGTCCGTAAATCCACTTTGCAATGCATCAGCCGAATGGAATTGACACGTAACAATACTTGATTATTAAGCCTATCGGGCTTTGAAATTTCTTTTGAGAAATACACTATGCCCTAACGTTTCCACCTCATACACACCTCTCTCTTCCTCTACAGCAATGTCTTACTGGGGTAACAATTTCCTCTCATTATTTCTATTCCAGTATCTATACGCTATGTTTCTGTCTTCCTTTTCATTTATTCGTAATTTTTTTTCCCGATGAAGATTTGGACCTTCTTTTGGCTTTTAATAGCACAAATCTTCACTTTGATTTACCTTGATGATATTCATCGTTTTCTTTTGTTCCTGGTTCACATGTTTTTTTTATTTTTTTTTTATTTTTTTTTTATTTTATGTTTTCATGTGGATATTGGATGCTTCGAAAGATTTTATTTTCAACTTTATGATCTGTAATTGTTTATTGTCGTGGAAATTAACTAGCATGCAGCGTTATATAGACTCTATAGTTCTTTGGGCTTGGGGAGGTTGTTTCAAATATTGTGTGGGTGTTTATATATATATATATATATATATATATATATATATATATATATATATATATATATATATATGCGCTGGTGTTTAAGGGCCACATATACTAACACCTCGCTATCCAGTGGTGGATTTCGGATTTCGATTCGTTGGGGGCATGAAAATATCAATTAAATTTTTCTGGGTCTGATCAAAATGGTTTAAACAAGGTTTTCAAGATCGGGTTTTTATCTTTGTACTACAGAATTGGTTTTAAAATAAACAGTGTTTTAAAGAATGTAAACAAGCAGCACCAAAAAACTACAACACATATGCCGATCCTAAAACTATAATGTGAAAAGTGGTTTTCGTTTTCAGAACATTTGTTTTTAACACTGTTTTTATGTGTGTTGCCTTTTTTTAAAGCTATATATATATATATATATATATATATATATATATATATATATATATATATATATATATATATATATATATATATATATATATTGGCAAACTCATATTGTTTTGGTTTAGGTATTGAAGTTTTTAATGATACACCACTTGATTATAAGGTTCGTACAGGCCGTGGTTTGCGTATTTCAAAGGTAAACCTTTTGGAACAGTGGGATATGCTTATTTTGCTTCATTAACAATACAAGTCACTAAAATTCTTTCTTTTCACTTCAGGCTGCTCTTGTAGAAAAAAACAAGGGAACAGAGGAATATTTTTCTGTGTTTATAACTTTTAATGGGCGAAAGGTTGTTGTTGGCAATCTACATCCTCAACTGATGCCAATACAAGAAATGAACTTGCTATTTGATTGCGACATACAACTCTCACACAACTGGGAGAACGGCACTGTTCATTTTTCAGGATGTGAAGAGTTTATTGATGATTATACATATTTCAATGTCGATGATGAAGAAAAGGAACCAAAGAGTGTAAGTTTTGACATTTTAAATTGAGATAGAATTATGAATAGAGTTTTTGTGTGTTGCTTTGATATTTTAGTTTTACTTGTTTATATTTTTATATGTTAAAACAAACATAATATGAATTTGACAGAAAGTAAGAGAGGATGAAGGCCCAAGTAGTGTTTCTGAATGTCCAACACATAGTTGCTCGTTTTGCAAAAAGGTATGCTTATTTTTTGTTTTTTCTTAATTTTATTTAGTTTATTGTTCTAATGTATTTTGGGTGTTTGCAGAGCTTTAAGGAAAAGGACAGTCGGGCCAGAAAGTAAATGATGTTTGCAGGAGTTTTATTGCTTCAAGATTGAGGATGGATGACAATTATCGCTTTAGTGTTTTATTTATCGTTTTAATTGGCATGATTGATTTAACTAATTGGACAAAATGTCACGCTTGAGTTGTATTTTGTAGTTGTTTGAATTATGTTCTGTGATATTTTTCGGATTTTTCTTTGCTATCAAAGTTTGTAACATCGTAACAAACACAAACAAAATTCCCATAACAACATAGTAACAGCGTTTTAAATAGACAAAAAGACCAAAAAAATTAAAAATATCATTCCAGTGAAAGTCAACACCATAATAATATAATAACTATAATCTTATCATCTATTGCCATTTATCTTTCCTTCCTTGAAACTTGGTTTTGATGATGAATGAGGGGTGCTTTCATTTGCAAACATCATTCATGTTTATGATAATGATCCGTTGCATTAAATAAAGAACATGTATTTATAAATATCTAATGATTATTAAATAAATAGGTATTCAATTGAGTTTAAAAAAAAATTTAAAACCTAAACCTGTTTTTTATGGAGTGTTGAATTTTACTTTTTTTGCTCCTACTGCACTTTCAGCTGGTCTTTTCAGTGATTGTTCAGTAAAGAAGTAATTAGGTTACTTGTTTTTCTTCAAGGTCATCAAAAAATCCAAAAGGAATTCTGATTGGGTTATCATTAATGTAACCAGATAAATATACGCTTCCATCTGCCCAGTCATGAGAAAGCACGAATTTTTGCTCAAAGTCAACATAGGCACTAAATTGTGCATGTTCAGAAGATAAAGTTCCTAGAACAAAATCTTTATTATTGAACTTAAATCCAACTTTGACATTCTCGACTTTGTTCCCATTCTTCACCTCTCCCAACGCAACCTGAAAGAGATAATAGTCCGATTAGGAGGCATGTTGTGTTTGAGTTATAGCCAAATATGAATTTAAAAACGAACATTAACATCATTGCTAGATAATGTTATGCTGAGTTCATATTTCTTTCATACATACTAAGATTCACATATGAAATTTCTGAATTCTTTGTTGAAATAGTAATCATAATTTGGAGGAGGTATTAGCTAAGAATAAGGAATAAGTAGTGTTTTCCATGTGTTTGCTATTTTCTAGGTTTTATATATATATATATATATATATATATATATATATATATATATATATATATAGTGTTTTCCATGTGTTTGCTATTTTCTAGGTTATATATATATATATATATATATATATATATATATATATATATATATATATATATATATATATAATGTTCACGTTTATTCCTTTTGAATGTAATGCCTATTTAATGGCAATTCTTCAATTCAATAATAGTATGCAAAAATCACTTCTTCTGTTAATTGTCTTCTCCAACATTGGTAAACCGAAAACAATTTTTTTAGTAAATCAAGATATTGATTTATGAAAAGCAACAATTTGATGAGTCGAATGTTTCTAACTGAGAGATGTTAAGAAGCTTGGAATCCTCGACTAAGACTATAAGGCGTTCATTAGGTTTAACCTCAACACCTAGCAAAAACAACAAACTTCCAATTGAATATTTGCAGGGAAGAAAAAAAAAACCTAAAATAAGGTTTACAGTAATTGCTACAACATATAGATACTTCATTTTTGTAATCAAATATCAAATATAGACATAAGATGCATAAAAAGAAATGAATAGTACACCAAAATTCCATTGCTGCTTGGATGCGATTGGGAGAATGAAAGAACGTGTGTTCGAAAGAGTTTTCCGGTGCAAGTGTAGGGTTTATCATAGCATCTTGGGGTTCTCATTTTTGAATCGATTTTGGGCCTTAATTTTGTATGACCTTTTTTGTATTGGGCCTGATTTTAAACAAGTACGAGCTTTAGTTTAATTTTCTTCTAACTATGTTCTAGTGTGCCTCCTCCCAGGCCCATGGTTAATTGAAATAAATCCTCTATTTACTTTCAAATGTTAGGCATTTAACATCAATATCACTGTATTAATTATTTTTTTGATTTTGATATTCTTGTTTTTTCTTTTCATTAACTTATTGATGCCTTTTCCGGTTGCCTCCATGTGAATCATTAGGTGTATGGGTCTCGTTAAGAGGATATTATGTAGGCATTAAGGGAGTATCATGTCGATTATCTCGATAGTTACAGACAAATATGAAATACATGGCCGGTCCTGAGGATTCAAATGCCCATGACGAGCTGGAAAAAAAAGCCATTAGTTCCTTAGTTCTAACGGGTAACGAATTAAATTATATAAACTAAAGTTTTTTTTAAATGACCATAGACTTGATTTTACATGAGCTTAGATTATAGTTCATGATCTGAACAACTGCTTATTCACCAATATAGTTAACCAAACTATCTCAGGTAGAATTCAATGGAATCCGTTTCAATTTTCAAGCATCTTTACATCACCTAAAATAATTAGTGATCACACCATATTCACATAACTAAGATCACATTTGTTCATTTATATAGTTTACCTATACCATATTGCAAGAAGGAATTCACAAGAATAACATATCATTTTGGATGGTACAAGAAAGAGAAGAGCAAGTGGAAGAAAGCCACCAAGAACAACCAACCTAAAGGAATATAATATGGTTTCCAATAAATGAAAAAACTATTTCATATCTAACTTCAATAAAGGTTGTGTTCAAATCATTGTAATGTTATAAACAATAATAGGATATTAAGACTATCAAGTCTGCTTGAAAGGTTTATGATTTTAAAAAATCAATTTCCTATATCAATCTCACACTTGGATAACTACTTGGTCATCCAAGAATATAGTAGAAACAAAAGCTTCATTTTAATTGAATATCAGATAAGTTATTGTCTTTCTCTACGGTTTTCTTGGTGAAGCCTTGTTAAGATTTGGGCAAAAGTGCAAAACATTTGAGTTTCATGATAATAGTTTAGCTAAGTACAAAAATCACCAAATACAAGTCAAATATGCTTTACCAGTGATCTTTATGGTTACTAACAATCATGTTGGACTCCATATGTTTATTTCTGAAAGAGATGTACTCCTAATATCCACCCCCCATAAATATTCTAACTTGATCGATGGAAAATATATAATTTCTCGATTTGTACTTGAGTGTTCTTGAGGAGTTCCAGACTGGGATCAACAATATAAACACCGGTAGTTCAAACCTAACTACAAGAAGTTGAAGAATGAATAATTATGAGATGATGGAAGTACCTTTTGAGAGGAAGAGCCGATACCTAGAGGGTTTGATGAAGACGAAGAACCAGGCACCGCATAGGCGGCCCCACCCGTGACCAACTCCCTCGCTTGAAGCCTTGAATGATCGCGTCTGGCTGTCTGCCTTCTGCCTTCGCGTGTGGATTATGGACTGGTCGATCTATCCTTTGCATTTTTTGGGCCTTTTCCTGAATATAGCATAAAAAAAATTGGGCCCCTAAAACATTTGGGCCCTGTGCACATGTCCCTTTTGCCCCCCCCCCCCCCCCTAAAATCGGGTCTGATGAAATACGATAAACTTATTTAGGGTTTAACAGTGAAGAATAATAACCAACAAGACCACGTTCAAGCAACTTCTTCAATATTCGTTTGAAATTGTTTTTCTTGATTACAAGCAATGACGGTCAATGACCAATGATTTCCATCTACGTAATTAAGCATTTTGAAGGCATGAAATATACGTATGAGGTAACTTGGAAGAGGAACATGAAATTGGAAATGAAGAAGAGAGTGACCACGATCATAATTTTGTAATTGATAGAGAACTAGAGGATAGTAACAATGAAGAAATTGAGGACAAAATAAGGTTGTGATATCGAGTTAAACATGATCTACTTCTATATCATTTTGTGATGTGAAATTAATTAAGGGGTTGAGGAAGATTGAATACGAAAAAGATGATATATATATATATATATAGGGTGTTGCTAATAAGACACCCCTTAGACACCCCATTCACTACTTTTTAAAAAGTCAACCTATAGTTAACTACTTATAATCAGCTTTTTCGGGAAACAATGCAATTTCAACCAATAAAAATATTTCAAAATTAAATTAGGGTGTCTATATGGTAAAATGGGGTGTCTTTTTATCCAACCCTATATATATATATATATATATATATATATATATATATATATATATATATATATATATATATTTATGGGTTTTGGGTAGAACAACAATCCTATGGTGTACATGCAAACCCTAAAGTTTTGGATCTAGTTTGTCTAATGAACATGCAATAATCATCCAAAGCTCATAAACCCTAATTCTAACATACAATAATCGAAATTGGCAGAAGAATAGAGTTTAGATCTTACCTTGATTGTTATATTGCAATAACAATCTGAATCCTTCTTGTAATTGACTTCTGAAAGCCTAGTGCCTCAAATGTTGCACCTCTAATGGAGTCACAAACACCATATGCAACAAGATGAACAAGGAGAGAGGGAGGATGCACCAAAAACGTCCTAGGGTTTCTCTTAGAAGGTTAGAGACGTGTTTGGCTTGCCAAGGGTTCCTTTTATAGTGAGGCTATTAGGGTTTTGATCTAGAAAACCCTAATCTGACTGCTTAGGCCCTAAGCAGCCCATGGACTCTCTCCTTAGAAGCCTTGGACGAATTCTAATGGGTTTCCCCATAGATTTCGTCCACTCCAACTTCTATGGAGTTCATTAGCCAAATATTCAACTATCACACAATTGACATTTCTAGTCCCCTTTATTTAATTAATGTCTTTTAGTCACAAAACTAATTCTTAATTAATTCTTGACTAATATTAATTAAACAATATGATTTCTCTTTTAATATATTATTCACATAATATATTAATAAATCATAATTAATCCTCTTTCTCCTTAATTCATCCTATCAGTTGCTATGATGAAGCCAACCCAAAAGGACCATGCTCGCAATAGGGTCAAGTACATACCAAAATAGTTATGGGCTTAGACACTAATCCAACAGTCTTCCACTTGGATAAGTCTAATAACTATTCTGCATATGACTTCGGAACCTGATCAACAATCGTAGCTTTCAAAAGTCGCTGTCAATTCTGATATTATCAGATACGCGTCCTTTAGATAAGGGATCATATATTCCTCCATTCTAGATATCGTATGAACTGAGACATGGATTTAAATCATACTCTTTGT